CGACGCGAATGGAATATCCTCCACGCTCGTGCCGAGTAACCACCGCGTTACAGCTCCGTTTCAGAACTGCAGCTTCCACGATCGACCGATAAAGTTAAAGGATTCGAGGGTGTACACGTACGATTAAAAATTTCAAGACGATCGGTACCGAAACAAGCATCTCCATCAAGGATTTAGTAAGATCACGAGGTCACGAAAATCGCTCGGTTTTAAGAGTTCCCACGTAGAGTCGTTCACCGCGGTACAGTGCTACAGCTAAGCCGCATAATCAGCGGAAAACCATGAACTCGGCCGATAAAGAGGGCAAAAAAAAAAATGGGGATTCTTCCGAGGCTGAAAGGAAGTTTAAAGACTGGTAGATGAACGCGGCGAGATAGTCGGACCACTTTATCCCCCGTGAGAAGCTGTCCAGGGGCAATCGCTGAAAGGAATACCAGCGACAGAGAGAAAGAGAGAGAGAGAGAGGGGCACGACATTGAGAAGCAGAACAGAGAATACCGGCTTGAACGTCGGAGGAGCTACGGAAGGCTGAAAACCGATCTGTCCCGTCGGTCGGAGACTCGAGGAGCGACGAGAAGAAGAACAAGGCGATGACGAGGAACGATCGTCGAGGGTCGTCGCCTTTGGTTTCGATCGCGTGGCTGGTTTTGCTTAATCTCTGCTGCCTCTATAAGCTCGGTGACCGCTGAAAAGTCATGAATCCGGGGGGCAGCGACCCCTGAAAACTCAGGGGGGTACGGAAGCTCTGAGCAGGAACAAGCATCGGCGTGTGTTAAGCGACTTCATTGGACGCAAAAGCTGAATCGAGACGAAAGCACAGGGGTAGGTGCACGCGGCAGATGTGCATACATACAAACACACACACTAGATATGTATATCGAGATATGGGGGCAGTTTCCTTAAAGGGTTATGCCTATCTGAGAGCTCGATAAAGACATGTACTTTCGGAATTTATTTTGAAAAAACTTGAGGACTATTTCAAACATACGTCATTTTATTCGAAAGTGGACATTTTAAAGTGCTTATAATAATTTCTTCAATGCAAAATATGAATAACTGGGGGAAATATCAGTGATCTCCCGACGGACTTTTTATTTTATCACTGTAAGTTTGAGTTCGTTTATCTAAAATAAAAAATCCAAGCAAATTTAGTTAATATATTATATTATTCTAAGAAAAACTTAGAAAAGAAGACCAGATCGCTGAAACCAGGAGACTCTCTGTGCAGTGTGTTTGGAAAGCAACGAAGAAGACTGGATACGATGTTCAACTACCGAAAATGGACACACGAGGCTTGTGCCGATATTCCCGAGTGTTCGGATAATTATATTTGTGATCGCTAGAAATTATATTGAAACTGTCCTGAGTTAAGTTAGTAAGTTTTACCGTGTCCAGTACTAGAAGCCAATTAATGTTCTTTCAAAATCATATACCGAAGTTCAACGTTTCATTTAACACTAGAACTACCGACGATAAACGCATATTTGCTTCGATCGGTGGATAAACGTGAAAAACTTTTGAAAAATTACAAAATTAGGAATTTACTAATTTCGTCACTTTCATATCGTAATAAAAAGTGCGAAAGATCTGAGAAAATGTATTGTCGTAACATTTTAATCGTCGTTGTAAGATTGCATTGACAAGTCATTTTGACTTCCTTGGTAGTTCTAGTGTTAAGTTAACTGTTATGGTAATGTTTATTATTTCGTTCCTCTATTTGGAGTTCTAATATTGTTTTTTTGTTTTTGTTTAAGAAAAAACGTTCAACGTCCGGGACTAAGGGAGCTCCCCCCCACAGCCGAGATATATTGCATGCAAACCGATATACATATACTCACTCGTTCTGTATGGTGAGCATGACTCCAGGGTCCTGCACGATGGTCCACCCTCACCTCGCGCGATCTCTCGCGATTCGATGGATCCGACTTCGAGCCTGAATGGCTTTGGCACAACCAGGCGTATTATCTCATAGAGGAGGCTCCTCTCTCTGTCCATTCAGTCTCGATATAAAGGCACGCGGGGTAGGGGGCTACCATAAAACCATCTCAATGGCAACAACATGACTACGAATAATCTACTTGGCTGCAATCTTACATGCGTATGATGTGCCCGCGCTTCCGATGTCTTGCGACCGCGATTAAAGATATACAACATACACCGCGAACCGGACCCGAAGAACTTAAAGTCTTCTCGAACTTCGGACCACGCTACCTTCGATTTTATTTCTATTTAATTCGCTGTTATACAGGGTGTTTCTGAAAATGTGGGCATAACTTCGGGGATAGATTCAGTACGCTAAAGCAGAGTTGGGCACAATTTTATTCGTGAAAAGCAGCAGTATCTGGGATCGTCGCTTGACCTGTGAACAGTTAATGAAGAGAAATAATTGTTTGCCAAGTGTTTACTCATTCGAGAAGAAAGTATTATATTATTGTAAAAATTGAAATTTTCACGGTTTTGCTATTAAAAATGGTGAAGTACTTTTTTTTTTATGTTTTATTCGTTATTCGAAATTTTTTATTTAGATCACGAATTTGCCCATCTCTGCGCTAAAGTAAGAAAAAAAGTTCATACGAACGTATGGCCGATATGACCTTGTTTCCGAATTATAACCGTTTTTATATGATACCTGTTATTTAATTATTTTCATGTTTGCCATTTGTGTAATCTGGCATTTTCAATGTAACCTCATTCAAATTATCACTTTGGATTATTGTGAAATGTATTAGCAAGTTTCCATACGTGCTATTGTCACCAAGAGCGTGTATTAAACTGACTGAAATGTAGGCTGACACTCGAAGACGATCCGTGTTGAGTTGTATTTGAAAAAAAGTAATCTTTGTTTCCTGGAACTGCGTCTAATAGTGTTTTAGCGTACTGAATTTATCCCCGAAGTAATACCTACATTTTCGAAAACACCCTGTATATCCAAACAATCGTAGACAGATAAACGTCTGAAAGGACTTGAAGAATTAAATGACCGTCGCCGACGCAAAATTCACATCTACTACAGACTCTTCTCGATTATTGTCTGGCTGGTTCTACACGATTATTGTCCAGGAGTTATCCCCACCACTGGGAGGGCTTTTTGTTACCGAGACTCGAGCTTCGGGCAAAAAACGAATTTACGAAGGTCTGAAGCATTTCTCCATATACGATTATTGTCAGGACGATAATCGAGTGGAGTCTGTATTAATCAGCTCGCTCGACATCCTGAAGGAGGTTCAGGATCACCTGCGTCTAACTAGCACACCGCTAAATTGCCATTAGCTCTTTCGTAATTCGAGTCGAGTGTACCTAAGTGACACTTGGGTCCAGTGTCACGGAACAAAAAATATGTACTCGTTCGCCCGATGGCACGGTATTCTTCCTGGTGCCGCCCTTCGCTGTATACGTGCGCGAGTAAAGTGGACAGGCACGATATTGTGTCTACGTAAAATCATTAAATTGTAAAACTGCCCCTGCTTCGGTAGCCGAAACTGTAATTTCAGACGTTTAAGCCTCTTCAGGACCGTGCAATGTCAATTCGGAATGGATTACCTGCACTTTAATTTTTACTAATATATATTAATTACTATTGAGTAGAAGGAGGCAGAGGCTAAATACCGTGTACTTTTGATAAAATATTCTAAGCAGGAGTTTTAAATATCAATTCCCAAATAACGTTTGTATCCAGAGATTTAGGTCGCTTTTGGGCATGTTAAGGCCCCACGTAGGGCACGTACAGCCAGGGACTTCTACCGAAACGTAAAATACCGGTATTTTCAATTGTACCTTCGCCCTATATAAGCCCTACCCTTATAGAAACCGAAAAAATACCGGTATTCATTTCGGTTTTCGGTAATATATCGGTTTCGGTATAGATGGCATAATAGTATCAAAATCATACCGGTTTAAGTCCCTGCGTACAGCCCTTGGTGCGGTTACATGAACAGGCTATCCTAATAAACGCTTAATTTTCCGAGGACACAATATCGTGCCCATAAACTTTACATAAAACAAGTAAAATCGACTGAGAATTGCAAAACAAGAAAACATGCAACGGATCGTTTCCGCGTAAACGGTTGACGTCTTTTAAAATCGACCCATGTGCGATCGAGGGTTTACTCTCGCGTCACTTGCATGCCAAGAAAGGGACAAACCCCGTGTGGATATATCGTGTCGATCTCGAGAAAGTTTCGTGCGAATAGTGAGGAGGGGATTCAATTAAAAAAAAAAGGTATTTTCTCATGCCGGGGGAAGAATCTCGACGCGGAAGAATTCCAAGAAACTCTGCTGGACGCCGCGAACGGCGAAATCGGTGGCTGTCGTATATACGAGGGAGCTCGAACAACCGACGTATACGTCAATAGAGTAAAATTGCTCTTACGCGTGTTTAAACGAGGACCACGAGAGACACGTGGTTGCAGTCACGAGGACGTTCCTCTCTAGCGAACAAACTCTTCCGTCTCCTCGTTCCTTCCCTCGTCTCTCCTTTTCCCGCACGGTGAAATCACGCTCTGTCCCCTCGTCCTTTTTTTTTTTTTTTTTTTTTTATAACGTGTCTTGGTTACGTTGTGTAACACCGAACGATTATTGTCAAAGTAATCACCCCTTTTCGATCTACAGAAGTTCCGTTCCTCTTATCGTCGTGGCCGTCGAAACCATTTCACGATTTGCGGAGAAATTTTAATAGAATACTCCCTAATCTTTTCGTTTCTTCCCTGAATCATTCAACGAGATATATATATATATATATATATATATATACACATATATATACATATATGCTGTGAGTTTTTCTTTTGCCAACAAAAAATCGACGCGGCGATCTGTGATCGAGAAAACGGCGATCAAAACCGAAAGAGCAAACAGGTGTTCCCGCATGGAATGCGCGACCGCATACTGACGACACGATCCAGGACGGTCGTCGGTGATACGCGATAGACTCCTCCGACGCCCAGTGCGCATCCACGAAACCCTACCGACCAGCGTCGTACTCTTCAACCCTCTTCTCCAATGATGGTCGTTCGAACGACCGTCGAAGTTTCGCTGAAATTGAAATGTCAGCGAAAATCATCCCCCTCCGCTGGAAATGTGTTTTATTCGACCCCGAATGCTATCGTTGGGTTATTTTTAAAAATCTGACATTTTTCGATCGACGTTTGATCGGTATGTTATAAACCTTGACATTGGTTTCGTTAAAAAAAAAAACGGGGTGAGTATTAGTTTTTTAGAATATACATTGTATTGAGTAAAGTCTGAATGAATTCAGTATTCTCTATAAACATTGAATACTTTATGATCGACAATTGATTTTGAACGGAGAGAGAAAAGAATGGGACCATTTCGTCCTAGGCCTACGACATATCTAAATCGACATGGAGAATTAATCCGTAACGCGTGTATTTGTCGTGGTAGTAAGTAGAAATGGAATGCAATGAACAGATGTGTTAGCAAAGTCTTATTCAATTGAATTCGTATCGAGCAGATTTTCAATTTCAATTGTCTCGAAAACGAAGTCTCAAATGAGACTATTTTATTGTATATTTTCGACCTATTTTCTCACGTAGAATCATCCCCTACTCGAATATTCCACTAGTTTTACTTGATACTCTGTATATAGATACTGATGATAGGTTTGAGTAGAAGCGGGAAAGGTGATATGAGTCCGAAGCTCTCTGGTGGCGAGTACAGGAACAGCTGCCATAGTACCCTTTGTGCTACTACCATCTAGCAGTATAAATGAGATACTAATTGTAGAGTGGATTGGTTGCCTTTTTAACAGATGGTGATACGGATCTTTTCTAGGAAGACATTACATATGCATCTCGTCTGTGATATAATCGACTAATAGCTAAGGTGGTTTGCCACAGATGGTGCCACGGGTTATCATGAAAATTTATCAAAATAATTAAAAATGTTTAATCACAATTTGCGCAATTTTTGCTTTATACCACTGAGTTTCAAGGCGTAAAAAGCTAGGGTAATAAAAGAAAAATAGACAGCTCCTGTTTCAGTCGATGACTCTAGATTGTCGGGCTCAAACTCGGTTGGGCCTTGGGCATTTATTATTCCATTGTAACGGTCCGTGCACTGCCGTGCAGGTCCGTGGGTTGCTTTGTTAACGGTATGATCACTGACGATCACTGACGATGAGGTAGGATTCGGATAAAATCTACTTAAAACTTAATTTCTTCTCCTTCGTCGCCGCTTTTGAAGTTATTACAGAATTAAATTATATAACAACGTTACTAGCAGGAAAAAATAATAAAAATGTAAGTATTATATGTATTTACGTGAATTATGATTGGCGATTATATTTAAGGATCTAATGAAACAGAATATGATTTAAGTTCTGGTCAATTAGAAATAGGAATTTCGAAGTAATTTTTATTTGTTGTCAGAAGTTTGTGAACTTTATACGCATGAATTTTCAGTGAGAATCACATCCATAATAATTTACGATTTCCACAGGTACAAAAACACAATCCTAAACTTGTTACTTATTATTGCTGATTTGTGGTTGAGCACAGGAGATGATTATTATGGACTTCTTGGTGTAAGCAGAACAGCCGATCAAAAAGAGATTAGAAGAGCTTTCAAACAATTAGCACTGACTGAACATCCAGACAAAAATAATGTACGTGCCAGAGCAACTCTGTTATCAACTTCTTAAATAATGTAAGTCAAGGGTTCAATTATGCCAAAGTATACATTTAAATGATACACCAGCTTTGTTGTTTTTCAAATTATTCTAATGAACATAGGGAATTCTATTGGCATTTATACGAAGAACAGAACAGTCTAATAAAACTTGTAATACAATCTTGAAACATAACTACATAACAATGTTTATATGTACTTTGTAGGATAATCCGGAAGCTCATGCAAAGTTTGTTCAATTATCAAGGGCTTATGAAATATTGAAAGATCCAGTTTTAAGGCAAAAGTATGATAATTATGGGGAAGAGGGTATTGATATTTCAAACAAAAGACAAACTTATCATTCTTGGAGTTATAATGCAAACAATTTTGGAATATATGATGATGATGATCCATGGATTATTACACTCGACGAGACAGATTATTGTAAGTTATATTTCATTCTAGTTGAGGTACTGTGTATTAATTTATAAGAAATACAAATTCGATTCAAGTATTATATCTGTTACAGTTGAAAGTGTTCTTTACAAGAAGAAAGTATGGTTGATAAATTTTTATTCCCCTGCCTGTGGTTCTTGTCACCGATTTGCTCCAATTTGGAAAAAAATCGCGGAAGAGCTCGATGAAGCTCTAAAAATGGGAGTTGTAAATTGTGAAGATGAATGGCAACTTTGTCGTCGTATAGGAATAAAATCTTATCCGATGCTGATGCATTATCCGAAAGTTTGTAGATTATACGATATGTACCTCAAATCTATATTTCAACTACTGAGTAAAATGCTCATTTAAAAGTATTGTGAATTTAATTACAGAATTCAAAGTATGGGGAGCAATATAAAGGAGAAATGAGTTATGCAAGTGTTATGAATTTTATTGTGAATCACTTCGAAGTTGATATTCGTGAAATAGAAGAACCATTGAAGGACTTCATTTCTCGCGGCAGCAGGGAATCGGATCGGCCCATGTTAATATTCATCTGCGGTGCGCAACGCGATTGTTTTGCATCGACTGAACGTTTAAAAATTGCAGCAACATTTGTAATTAACATTTAATTTTGCTTTCTATTAGACTTATTCTCGGAATTTCATTATACAGTATAAAGTAATAACCCATTTTTTATTTGTTCCAGGAAAATGTGATCGATGTGAAGATAACTTATTGTAATAAAAAGGAAGATTGCGATGAAATTGTATCTCTTGATACGAAAGCCGTTTATTTATCCGCTACTCCATATAAAAATAATACTTGGCACGTTGTTCCATTTGAAGATATAGATGAAACGAAAGAATTGATAAAAAAAGTAATGGAGCGCTTACCGGAACCATGTGATCTCGACGCTAACGAATTTCAGGTAAGCTGTATACTTATTATTGAAAATTCATCGCGTGACAACAGTATATTTTTCGTATTCTTCTAATCTTATTGCTATCCAATAGTCATAGTTATTTCTTTATAGAAAATTAAAAAACGTTTAATGGAAGAGAAAACATTTAATCCTGGTTGGCTCATTCACTTTTATATTGGGCATGGAACGAATTCAGATCCAGTGCTGAAAAAACTTCTTAGTGTTAGCGATGCCGTTAAATTGGGTAATGCACGTTCAGTCTTAACATTACGCGCGTTTCTTTTATTTTACACTTACTTATTTTCGCTACTTTTGCAAATTTCCAGGTAAAATAAATTGTGGAAAATATTCGTCGATTTGTACTATGTTAAGCATAAATCGTTATCCAATGTGGGGAATTCTTAAAACAGGAGGAGCTTTCGAGTTGTATCACGGAAAAAATTCATTCAATGATATTGTTAAATTTGTGTATAGTAGCATTAAGGCAACTAATGTATGGGCGTTATCCGGCGAGCAAGTAATGTCTATAATGGAGAGAAACAATGGTACTTAGATTGTTTGAATTGACTGTTCTGGAAAACGATTTGGATAATTACACGTGTCGCAATTTGTTAAAGGTAACGAAGCATGGTTTCTCGATTGGTACGCACCATGGTGTCCTCCGTGCATGCAGTTTATAAAAGAAGTTCGTAAAGCGTCGGTGGAATTTCACAAATCAATCATTCGTTTTGGGACCATCGACTGCACTGTATATTCTGATATTTGTCGTCGATACAACATTCGTTCATATCCAACTGCAATACTCATAAACGGTACCAATACCAATAAATTTTCACTACAAAAGACAGCAGTTAATATTGTTCGATTCATTAACGAAGCACGGCATCGGACAGGTGAGGATAAATTAATTTATAATACAGTTTTAGAAATATTTCATGTACAATAGTGTAATGGGTTTCTTTGTGAATTTCAAATTCGGCGTAGTTGTACGGCTTACCTTAAAAAATTACGAGAAGCAACTCGGTCAGAGAAAAGGTAAATTCATCTGGGTGGTTGATTATTTTGCACCTTGGTGCGCACCGTGTCAACGGCTTACACCCGAATGGATCACCGTTGCAAACACTTTGTCTGTGCTCCCATTTGTAAAAGTGGCCAGTGTAGATTGCGAAGCAGAATCAACGTTATGCTCAACCCAGAGAATACACAGTTATCCTACGATACGGATATATTCCAAAGACTCCAAGGACCTAACTGTGTTCGAGTAAGTTCACGTTGTTCCTTTTCGATTCTCTAACAAATAGTTCTTTCTGGTACGGTTAATTAAGTCGAAATGAATTTTTATTCTTTGCAGTTCTTACAATGGACATCGGGATTCTGTCTCGATATTAAGATGGATTACAAATTTCTTTCCTCGAAAAGTACGACCATTGGATCCAACTACTTTACAAGAGGGGGTATTAAATGATCGTAGTACATGGGTTGTGAATTTTTTCATTCCATGGTGTGAACAGTGCCAACAACTGGAATCTCAATTCGCTATCGTTGCTCAAGTAAGCATAGTGTTCTTATTGGGTAAAATGTTAAGACTAGGACCCGTTTTAATAAAATTCTTTGTTGCTTCAAGTTACTGGAGAGATCAACGATACAATTTGGTCGCTTTAATTGTGAAGTCTATGCTGCCGAGTGTGGTAAAGCTGGAATTACATCGTATCCAACATTGGTAGCATATGATTCCCGATACAACAGGAAGAGGATTGCAGATGGTTTTCGAATTAACGAAATCGTGGCCGAGAAAATTAAAGACAACCTTTTAAATTTTATCGCACGTCTCAGTCACGACGAATTGTGATACCTTTGCCGTGTGTGTGTTCAGGCGCGATGCGCATTTCAAAGTATTCGCCTTTTTTTGAATTAAACACACTGTAAGGAGTAGACTTCGGTAGCCATCTTGGTTTATGAATTAGGAAATGCCGGCATCCGACAGGCGGAAGACTCGGGTTTGACTGCCGGTCTGATATCTAATCTGCCAATTCTTTTCTCTCCTAATACTGTAATCCTATTCTAAAACTTATCACAAATAAGAAAAACCTTGATTAATTGTGTCTGCATTTAGATATACACGTTTTATAACTACGATATTAAAGTCGAATTTATTAAAAAAAAATCGTGCGCTTTTTTAAATCGAAATTTTTGTATACAAACTGCTTTAGCAAGTAACACCACTAAATAAAGTTGAATACTGTCACATTACTACGCGTTTCATTTAATTTCTACGTAGAGGAATGAAAAATTCATTCGTCTCGCACACCAATATTATTAATATTAAATGTATTGTACAAATGCATTAACATGAATAGGACATGTGATTGTTATGAAAATAAGCCGTAATATATTAAATAATTTTCTCTTTTTCTTTGCATAAAATGTTCCAAGAAGTTTTTATAGACACAGTCGTGGCACCCAGCCTTGTTTGGGACTTGTACCGAAAATGCAATTTCCTTATCTGCTCTCCACGTCATGTGGAGAATGTTTAGTTAACGCGAATTATATTACTACGCATACCGTCTAGTATGTGGAAACATAGGAAAAAGAGGGACCGGCCAATCGAGAATTGAACCCCGTGATCTTCAAACACTCAAGTGGCCAGTCCATGTCCTTAACCTACTGGACCCACGGTGCCTTTCTGCTTTTCCTATTTAACTAACCATTCTGAACATATCTGGGGACCCCGATCCCCATATAAAATGCGACATGAAACGTAGTAAAGTCAAAAGCCGCGTATCGAAAATTATCGTTCGTGGACAGGATTAACTTACAAAACTTTACTTATCGCTCGAGAGGGACACAACTTTCAACTCGACACACAGATTTCCCAATTACGCGACGACAATTCCAGCTTCGAATTTCCAAGTACATATAAAATTTTATTCCTACGATTTACGTGATACGGTGGGACATGCTGTCCCACACCATGTCCCCTCGAGCAGCATTATTTATCTAAATTCGCTATACATATCGAAAATTGCCCATACATTCTAAAAAATAATTTATATTTCCAATAATCGGTATAATATTTTGTCGTAAAATATAAGAGTGACAACGAGTAGCAATATACATTCGTTTCTTTTCTATCACATAAGAACGCATTATGCGGAGGCAGTGCTAATTGAATGTAATGCGATTTCGCCACGTTTTCCAATTATCTTTCGCTTCTTTTAATAAATTAACTGTGTTGCACGTAACTTATTAAAATCAATGTCTTTTTGGACTCCCATTACTTTCTCTGTTTCTTTGTAAAAATATTATCTCTCGTAGTAAAATTGTATTCCCTTTAAAACGTTTGATTTTTCCGAAGCTGGTGAATCATGAAAAGTAAACTAAACTAAACACTTGAAGATTAATGTGCTTGATAAAAGTTAACACAGATTCTCGTTCAAAGATTGCCATTATCGTCGTAGAAATTATTATTGAAATAATCAAAACTGAGAACGACTTTCGGGTTACCGTGACAATTACATTTATGTTCAAGTGTAACGAGTTCGTTTACTATTCACTGTTTAATTTTGTGAGTAAGAACTTTCTAGCAACATTTACACTAACCGAACATAAAGAATGGATTATTCCACAGGTAATCCAAACATGTAAACACCACGGTGACTTGTCATAAAATGATTGTAGTGATAGAATTAAGAACATATTTTTCTGTGAATATAGTGATATTAATTGACAATTACACTGAAATCAACCGAGAACATCATACGTATGTATACCATATCTCGGATATTCGTGGTCTATATACATATACTTTTGTGGTTTCTGCGGACTCTCGCGGATGAGTTATTACAATTCGTTGAACATAAGAGGAATTAAACTTATGTGTGTCTTAACCTTCAAATTTCAACGTATTGATACACGTTAAAGAAACTTTGAATGCGATACATGTTTTATTCGATAAGCGCTTTTCTAGTACCGTTCAGCTTCTTCGACATTGATTTCTCTGAATAAGGTGATAAGATATACAGTGTATGTAATGTAAAATTCTTAAAAAATGAATTCGAAGTACTTTCTTAACACGAAAGATAATTCCAATGTCAACAGCTGTTTCTGTTTTGTTTTCGTAGTACCTGATTTACTAAACAGATAAAAAGAAACGTATTAATTGGATTATGTCATAAGCAAGGTGATATACAACATTTGTACCGTGTTGTTGGTAAATTAATAAATAGAGCGGTCGCATAATGTGTGCCATAAATATACACAAGAAACGCATCAGTGAGTTAACACCGATAACGAATGAATAATAAAAAAAATCATAATTGCAAATTATAAGTCTCGCTTCGAGGGCGGTATCAAGTGTTGTGGTAATTTTGCAGGCAGGTCATAACCACCGAGTTTCACATTAATTAAATGCATCGCTAAGGCAAACTCATCGGAATCCAGCAATCCATCATTGTCAACATCGGATAAATTCCAAATTTTCCCAAGTACACTGTTTGGCAATTTCGACTTAACCATTTCCGATTTTGCGGCTGGAAACGTATCAAAGAATCTCATTAACCCAATTGTACATATCGAAGAATTCGTAGTTAAGTAACAGTTAGTCCAACAATGTTTAAACCGTTCATCATGTGAATTCGAGATTTAAATGTGTGTATTATTTGTGAAAGTAATGTATACGATAAGAAATTACCTGCTCCCGTAATTTTTCCGTCACAGGGATTGAGCGTTTCGAAAACAGAATCGTATTTGTATCTTTCCTTATTAACGAACCATTCTGGTTCACCCGCTCCAGCATCAATACCTTCTCCCCGCTTGTAACCAAACGGACTTACTTGATCCTCCACACCTTCGAATGCGCCTCCTGTTAGGGCAACAGCGGAAGAACTAAGTTCGTTACAAATTTATAAAACATGAAAATGAAAATTTTCCTCGACAGCCTCGACCAGAACTGTCGACCTCTTTCATCATATAGAAAACGTAAAAGAACCGTAATAGTGTAAAATATCCGTCAGCTGTACAGAGTCATGCTTGTCTCGAGTTTCATAGTACGTAATTGAAATTTATCGCGGCACTTGAAATGGTTTCCGTGAAACGTTGATCTATGATTACGTTTGGTTGCACAAGTTTGAACAGTGAGTAATAGCGAACTGGACAGAAATACTGGTAATCGTGGCGCTTTCCAGCTTAGATTCCGTAAAAAAAAAAATCATCGGAGATATCTCTGTTGAAAGATATACATAGCGAAATGTACCTTTGACTAACGATTCTGACGTGGTCCCGTGTTCTTCGTTTGGTATCATGTCCATGAGCTTCGCGATATCTTCGGCGAGCATTTTATCGACGACTTCCAATAATCTGGGCTTTATGTAATTGAATCTAGTGAAGTCTTGGTGTGCCAAACTTTCCTGCATTTTCTTCAAATCTGGAAAATCGCCTGGTGAAATTTTTTGCTCCCTTTGTATTTGGTCGTAGATTTGACCCAAATTTTTGATAAGATCTTTTTTCTTTGAATCTTTGCCGAACACACTTGGCATATCCTTTCTAAGGGCGCTGATTATGTAAGCGTGTACCTAAGGTCCAACGAACATGCGTTTGAACGTTATCGAGTTTGTATCATAGATGACGACATCCTTTGAGTAATGGTGCATAGTCGAGATGTTGAATGATCAGCGACCGAACAACGGTCGCTAAGCCAACTTTCGTGTTTGCTCACCTTGGCCAATCGTGCACGTTTAATCAAATCGTTGAGCTTTCTAAGTGCTGCATTTCTTGGTAACGACTGCATGTCCTTGAAGAGATCATGTTCCTCGTCTTCGAATAGTCTGAAAGGAACATTTTTCGGATAACGGATGGACGACTGACTCACGTTTTTCGTATACACTAACGAAATGTATGTTTGTGCAAATGCAAAGAAAGAAAAAAAAAAACGTTTCGCTTGATAGGAATAACTCCATCGGTATAAAAAGTAAACAAAGATACTCGCCTTTTATTTACATCGTATCTTAAAGGCTGGTCCCAGAACGATCCAATATACACACGGGCTACTTCAGGAGTTTGTAGTACTTTACCGAGGGACCACATCAGCGCTCCGTACACTCTCATTAGTTGTTGATGATCGATCATGTCTGCTTTATTCAAGACTATCCGAATTTTATCGTCGTGGCCACGCAGTGCTTCGATGGATCGCCTAAATTCGTCGGAAATATCGAGTTTGTGCGCATCGAACAACAGTATGATTCTATCTACACGTTCGGCAAACCATTCTAAAACTCCTGTAAAATCGTAGCCTCTGTCAACCTGACAAGAAGAACAACAATATCCTATAAAATTCATCTGTACACTTTGCAGGGAGGTGTAGCATGTAGTTATCGAACATACTACTTACTCGTGATTTTTCTATTCTACTATACTTACTCTTTGTTTCTCTCCGGACAGAATACCAGGAGTATCGACTATAGATATTCCTTTCAAGACCGGCGACGCAACCGTAGAACATTGAAATCTGTTAAGGAACGCGTTACCGAACTTGGAAAGCGGACGATATTGCTTTTTAGGATCAACAACTAACGCGTTTCCGGGGATCACGCCCTCTTTCTCGTCGTACATAACTGCAATGAAGCGATCTGTCGTTGGTTCAGGACCGATTCTTATTCCAGGAAAGTCTCGTTCTAGTAAATACTTGATGAACGTGGTTTTCCCTGTGGAGTATTGACCCACCAAGAGGATCATGGGTTTCGCATCGAAATCTGGATCGTCGAGTTGCGGAGAATGGAAATCGTGGAACTGATAATGCTGCTCCAGCGGCAGCAACTTAGATTTGTAAATTTTCTTGAGTCCTTCCGTGACATTTTCGAAGACGTTGTGTCGTTCACTCTCTTCCCGATTTAACCAGCTGAACATCTCGAGATAGAATCAACGAACGGTCCTGCGTGCAAATAAATACGATTTTTAGAATTAAATAATTAGGTATTCTCCCAATCGTTCTGCGTGTTCGCAATACTACGGTACGGGGATATTTTATGCCTCGTGTATTACTAATTTTGGAATTCCTGTTAAAATAATTACTTAAAAATTTTGAAATAAATTAAATATTGTGTAAAATTATCTGTTTATACAAGAGCATTAATATTGTTCCATAGAAATTTTAAAAAAGTTTGAAAAATAATAGAAATATCCGCCGATACGTAAGAGTGCCACATCGAAGGTAAAAAAATACAATAAATTAGACAACAATTGTATGTGGTTCGTGTAATAATTATGTACATATATGGGAGACACGGTAAAATAACTGATACTTTCAACACAGAAAGTTTTTCTGAGACATTGTAGCATTTTATTTTATTAAAAAAAGTCTTGATATTCTGAGGGTTAACAATATCGGACGGCGATTTTCGGCCCAGACCGCTGTCTACGGCCGGTGTCATTACTTTACATTTTAAGGAAAAATGGTACAAAAGTATTAATATATATATGTATAAATTCGTATAATATTAAATACTTTTGCTAAAATTCAGGAAGTCTATGTCACATCCGTGTTTACGAAAATTTCACTACAGACAGACGGTTCATGAGTCCACAACATCTATTTTTAGACGGCCAGCCATTTACGAAAGTTTTCGCGATAACCAATTTTAGTCAACAGTTCAATCGTGTATTCAAAGAATAAGTAATGTTCTTCATTTACTGTCGGACCCGACTGTAACGTGACAGTGCATTGGAAGATGCTAGGATGACGTTGTCGACGTGTGACGATTTACGTCGATGCACGACAGGATCACGCCCGAGTGATTTGTACTTTTCTCGTATAAACGACGGAGAACTTTCCAAAACGAAGCATCGAGCACAGTAGACTTTGTCGACTAATCCACTAAACCCACTAAATCATCGAGAAGATCGAAGAAACAGACACAGAACGGAGTAGCACAGATGAACCTAACCTCTTACCTTGACTTGGATGAAACACAAATAGAACGACGACGGGCGCCGATGATCGAACACTATCACACGGTCGAGTTGACAGCGTGTGTGCAACTGTTGCTGGGATGTCGTCGGTCGATAATGCCGCTTGACTTACAAGCCCACGGAAAATATCGATGGGAATATGTTTCTGACGTATTACTGTTCTTTTGCCCGAGCACTTTCGAATTGTTACACAGAAGATCCGTTAACCGAGGTCCGTCGATTCAGTTCGATTTTCTCGTACTGTTCGGTCGCATGGGATCCAATGGGATCGCAAGATCGAATGATCACGATTCGACCGCTGACACGCACGTCGTGAAGAAGCCTCGCACCGATACGACTGCGCATCTCGATTTTCCTCCTCTTTCTCCTCATTCTGAATTCCCCGTTCCCCGTTCCCTGTCCGCCGTTCCGTCGCTTCCCGCCCGTCACCCTCTCGATTCCACTCATCGCTTGCCTTATCGCGCGCAACCAATACTGCCACTGTATTTGTACACTGTATCCATTCAAGTATTTACATACTACACACCACGTTCTTGTACTTTCACCTTTATTTTTCTCCGGGTATTTTTGAGAAACACGATACACAAGTATTTACGTACTATTCCAGAACTGTCAAATACACTGACTAATGGTATAAATGGACTTGGACCGACTGGAGTCTATGTAAATAGTTGTATTGCGCGTTAGGGTTCGGAATGTCCTTCCGCATTGTTCGACTTCTTGTAGGACAATTATTCGTTTCTCGACGACAGTCAGTAGCTCGGACGGTACGGTACTAGTCGAAGACGGTGTCAAATATGCTTATATCGCCGTGAAACGCAGAATTCGGGCTTGTGATTTTAATAGTTTTGCAACCAACCATTCCACCGGTCGGACTGTACATCTGTAAACGGGCACACGTTCATTCGTGTGCTAGATGTACGCATTCGCAACGGACTCTTGACGTGGGAAAATATCTCGCTTTCCCATTCAGCCAGAATTTCTATGCGTGCCCAATAGAATGCGTTATCGCAGAGATTCGGTAAGTCAGATCTATTTACTTATCGTTAAGAGGACAGTTTAATCGCACGGATTGATAAGAGAATAGTTCAATAAGAGGAAGGTGGGAGCAAAGTGTGTTCCGCGGGAATGATTCATTTAGTCGACGCGGAACGTACACCAACGAGCAAACTCGGTTTCCTTTAGGGGAAAAAGAAATGTAGGGGTAAGGGCCTCCTACTGCTTGATAAATTTATTTCAAATACTGAAATAAATGTTAAACCGAATGTTAATTTGGCATACATTTCAATAGTTGCCGATACCAAATAATAGGACGCCCTTCCCATACGTCATTTTTTCCACTAGTGGAAGCTGAGTTTGCTCGTTAGAGTACACCACGAGCAAACTTCCTCTAGGGGAAAAAGAAATGTAGAGGCAAGGACCTCCTATCGCTTGATAAATTTATTTCAAATACCGAAACAAATGTTAAACCGAATCTGAATTTGGCATACATTTCAATAGTTCCCGATACCAAATAATAGGAAGCCCTTCCCCTACGTCATTTTTTCCACTAGCAAACAGTAACAGGTACGAAAAATGCATCTAGTTTTTCGAGAATGCCGTGACGCATCTCGATGGGAGGCTGTCTCGACGGCGATTAATCAATGTTCGTTCATCTTTCATTCGAGTATTTGAATTCAACGGAAAGGCTGCTCTGTAATAATCGTTCTCGTATTACGTAACGAGACATGTAAAACATTCAGTGTCATTTGTTGCGTAAGCAACGCGGACACATCCTGGTTAAACGATTTTGTGCCAATTTAGTAATCTTAACCGACTTCGCTCGAATTAGAATTGATTCGCACGATACGTGCGTTGCGCTAACGCACTGCGCGTTCCGTCGTTCCGCCGTGCTAGTGCGAGCTCTTTGATACGTGGACACATGGAAATCGGTGAGGTTATTCCTTTCGACGGTATCGGGCTCGGCAATCTTGTTCGAAAGAAAGATACGGAATATATTGCTGCCTCGTAACCGTAAGCTTTCACGCGAATGCGAGAGATATGGTAATCGAGCAAGGTCGCGAGGATGCAAGCGTGTAAAATAAAACGATCATAGCGTGCACTCGGCGTCCCAGTAGTCGGGAAGCACGTTTTTCCATAGATTGGCCGCGTCCTCGAGTAAGCAAAACGTGCCACATTTTGGTATCTCCAACGGATAGACCGTGAACTTATCCGTATCGTTCAGGAACATTAGCTGGAAAGAGCGAATTAGAAAGAAAAACAAAAAAAAAAAAAAAAGAACAGACAAATTGATCGAGGATCGATAGGGACCAGCCGAGAAATGTGAACATTGAAACCGAAACGGTATTGTAAACGGAGAAATCGCGCGTTAAATTCGAAATGTTTGTACCTTTATTTCAGCGTGTTCCGTGTCAGCGATGTCGGGGCTAAAATCCATTTGAAAGATTAGCGTTGCCCCGTAGTTGGGTTTAAAGTACTCGTCGGTGAATCCCATGGTTCGAAGTAAATTAACGAGTGTTATATCATGGACGGAGTATAGATAGGCTCGGCTGGCATTATCTCGGTCGGCTGCGGCGCCACGCATACGCCCCAAAATTTCTTTCAGCAACGGCCCTGAAACGGAAGGACAACGAGAAACGAGAAAATTCGGACCATCGGTACATAGGAATCGGAATTGTTCACGACGAATCGGTCCAACCTCCTCGAAGTCGTTGTTGCAGTGTGTTACTGGTAAATATGGCCAAACTACGTGCCGCGATATCTCGCATTTCACGATTATAATATTTCTTTGTCCATTCGGGTAGGTTCAGGCCACTCTGTTCCTCGATCTCCAGGGTGTTGTACAGAAACTCGATGTCGGTGATCGTGGAGAGATTTTGCCCGGTATAGTACGAGAGTTCTTCGTAGTATTTGGCTGACGGGGTCCCCAGTCGCATAGATTCATTTGTGTACGCCTCTTTCAGAGCTTCCTCTAATCGTGGACATGGCACCTTGACCACGATAGTCTAGAAAATTCATCAGGACACGGATACTTTTCGTTCCCGTTACCAAATAGGAATGACGACAGCGGGGACGAGCACTTACGCACCTTGTCCAAGTTTCGGGGAGTGGAATGAACAGGTATGGGTCTCCAGTTTAATCCTGGAACGAAGATCTCGTCGGGTAACGGTGGATATAAACCGGCCAGCAAAGCCTGCGCGGACATTAGGCACCGATCTGCGTAGCTGCTTTGAACCAAGGTTAGTCTGCTCTCGTACTTCCTGCCAATTAGCGAGCCGTATTTCTCGCGGATCCATTGGCCGACATTGTACATCCGAAGCATGCCCTTCTGCACAACGATTCTAGATTCATATCCGTTTTCTAGTTGGTTACATGCGCCGATACTTTTCGCGAAACCGACGTAACACCACGTTCCGGCACGTTCGGCCGATCAAGCCGCGCGTGCCGTTCGGTTTATCGACGGTTTACCAAATTTATCTACAATTAGATTTTGTAACCTTGGTCAGAGCTCCTAAGCCTCCTTCCCATTCGTAGTCGCCGTACGGATCCTTTGGATAAGTTTCCGTTGGGGTCCGATCGCCGTGGCGAAATACCTGTCGCGACAAATCGTCGGTCAAAACGAGTAAACATATAAACACTGATCAACGATCGAGAATCGATTCCAATTCGTACTCACGAATATCGTCAGTCGCACGGACGCATTCTTGTCGTTTGCGTCGGTACTAGCCGCGAATGCTACGTAGGCGAACATTATGGAACCAATGCCAATGCCAAGAATTACAACCGTTGCCTGTACGCCCATTTTACGTTTCCGTTTCGGAAGATCGCGAGCAGAGGACCGATGTTCCGTTCCGTTATACATTTAATTGCTTACTACGAGATAAACCCTTTCGATTTTCGCTCGAGACGCACTCCCACTTTCCGTCAACCCGCGTGACCGTGTTGTAACGGCAATCGTTGCTTCTCACTCCGCTCCGAACTCGCGGCGTTATTCATCTCTTTCCCGATTTTTTCTTCTCGTATCGTCTCGTCGGTATCAAAGAATTCACGCGAGCAGCGCTATATACAGTCGACTTTATTATCGGTCGAGTTCAGAGTGTATATAGACGCGTGGAAATACACGTTCCAGAGGCTCAACGAACAAGGTGTACAGGCCTATGTCTGAACCATTGGAAAAACGAACGTTTTTCACGGTTGCCGTTGCTTGCTAAGTAATTAAGCTCAACTGTTTCGATAGAAGCTTAATGAAAATATATGTGAAAGTGCAATGTGTCGACGTCAAAATGGAGTCTGAAGAGCAAAACTAATACGTAACGAGGTTTCCCTAGCAGGGACAAGAAGTTGTTTACGCAGAACGAAGGATAAATGTGATTCCATATTATACACGTCAACGCAGTCGATTTCCAGTTGTTCCGTTGAAAGGACGCATCGACGGAACCGTTGCACCACCTACAGCATGAATGCTACCGTGCCACACCTATTTAAGAATTACTTCCACTTCTACAGTGAGAATTTAGCTTGATTAGAAGCGTCCGAACTCGCCGTAACGCAATAGAAATGTAATCCAACACTGTTATCTCTCCAGCGTACACGCATGCGCGATGTTCATAACGATCCGGCGAGAGTTAGCTGACACCGGTTAGCAACTCGCGTTGATTTGCTGTTAATCGGATTGGTCGTCAGAATTTTCGTTTTGTTTGCCAGAAGTTCGGGATAGATACAAGCGACTTTGTCATTATGTATGCGACCGAACTTTCTCGCCGCGATCCCGTATACAACTGACGCGGAACGATCGACTCACGGCTCATCTACAACTCCGCTCGCTCCGACCGTCACCTCGGGTCGCGCAACATTCTCTTATACACTGTGTGTGTGTGTGTGTGTGTGTGACGTATCGTGAGTCACGATTTGTGACCAATCGTGACGTATTGCACCGTAGCACAATGGCCTGGAAACCCGTTTTTCATGGAGAAAAATTGAATTTTTACATTTCGGAAACATTTTTGTATACATCAATTGATAACCCTTTAACGTTCAAAGTTTATTAGCCATTTTAGATAATTACATGCCTGGGGAAATCACTCTGAAAACAAAATTCAGAAATTCAAAGTGAAACCAATTATTCTAAAAAGTCATTATAGAGTATGAAGTAACAAGCTTGAATTAACGTTTTATATACAGGGTGTCCCGTAACTGGTGATACAACCAGATAGGTGATTCTACGTGGAAAAATAAGTCGAAAATATGGAATAATATTTTTCCTATTCAATTGCACTATAACAAAATTTTATTCTGCATTTTTAATTCAGTTTTTCAGAAAAGTCTTGAGAACATTCGTAGGACTCCGAGACGGACGTTACCAGAACATCCGAAACTTAAATCTTAAGAACATTCCTAGAACATCCGAAATTTAAGTTTTGAAAAGATCCGTAGGACTTTTGGGAACATTTCTAAAAAATCCGAAATTTCAGTCTTACGAACATCCTAAGGATATTCAAAATGGACGTAGGACATTCGGATATAAATTGGACATGGAAGGGACATTATGATGTACGGTGCTATCTGGAATATGATGACATTGGTGACACTCTGTTAAAGAAAAAACACAACTATGCCAGTGAGTCGAAATAGGTACCGTTTATTCGTAGTCGATTAAAGATATTATAGACAGCGAATGCAATCTGAACGCGTGGACCACGTGTGTAGTCGCAAATCACGTCGACCGATTAACCGTTAACGATCGTTCGTTTTATACACGTTCGTTGGTTCGCTCGCAACGAAGAGAGACAGTGGACGAGTATTATACACATACGTATTAACGCAGATGTCGCGATTATGCAACGATGCTCGCGAAGCCTTTTACGGGATTTCAACGTTAACCCTTTGCACTCGGTTGGTCCCGCTACGGAGACCCTCGTAAGAAATAAATAGTGGATTTTTATGCAAAAGAACATTTTATAATATGTTTATATTTAATATATAACTATTTATATAAAGAATTTTTTATAAAATGTTTTATAAAGACAAGAGCAAAAATACGAATTTCCTTTTTCTCGAAAGTATCTGATTGGGTTAAGAATAAAAAAAGGATCTCGTTACTTCTGATGAAAGTTTTGTATTTCACGGAGCTCTATAGTCTATAAATGCATAAAATCCACAGTCTAGTAATATAATTCCATAGCTCCGTTGGCTTCGCTACGGGGGACACAGACGAAATATCAAGTGAATTTGAAATTGGAAAAGAAAAATAGCGTAACTCGTTCTTTTGGGAAATGAAAGTTGTGTGTTATCAACTCGTACGTTCTCGATAAAACTGTAAAGCATAAGAAAAACGAAATGCTACTAACACGCTTGAAATATGTAGACCTGCTAGACGATCGATTCACAGAACAGTTTCGTCAGGGAAGAGGCAAGAACTTCCATTTCCACCGCTGAAACTAAGTTAATATACAAGAAAGCTTCGTGTAACGAGAAAGGATTAAAGACGGATCATGTTGTATGTTCTATGAGACAGGACAAAGTGTGAAAGATGTCATACGACTGATTACCGCAACATACTTGCCCAAATAAACCAAGAATATAATTCCAGAGGACCCTACCATGAAGAATCTCAAAATATAAGACTCAAGTTTTACTCACATTAGAATAAAGCAGATTCACAACAGAAACAAAATAAAGTCGACAAGCACATTTAATTTGTTCCTTTCGAAACAACTCTTCGTTTCCGATAGCTTCCCTGCAATACTATGCCTGTAGCTGCTGGTCGATAGTACGAGAAAGATGCTCGGAGTGCGAAGGGTTCAAATTAGCATTGCGATCGGACGGCGTAATCAAACAGCAGACTAGATAGAGGATCGTAAAGGAATATATTTAAACTTATTTTTAAACTGCAATCGAACATTTAATTATCATCGATGATGTTTGTTCTACGACGAAGATTACGACGTTTCCCTGCGCTTCTTTCTTGCTCGTGTACAAGGTCGGTATCCCGTACACCAAGGAAAAGTAGTCTTACAAGGTAGTGACTAGAATACACGAAGACAATATGCTAACCGCGTTGAAATTGAAATGCATCAAAGAACGAACACGTCGAAGTGAAATCGCGATACTATGGCGTGACGCGTTGCAAACTAATTGCAAGTTCTCGTTTACAATGGACCGGTACACGCGAAGTAGGTTCTAATAGGAACGGGTTGGTCGCTACAGCGAAGCTACGTTAGACCGAAGGACAAGAACGGTCGCGATCGAGGGACAATAAGCCGCATTGATACACCGCGAGTACATACAGCGAGCGTAAAAACTGCGTATACACCTTACAAATGTGAAGGTCGAGTAATCTGTGGCATATCGTAAGATCCTGGTAGTAATACAGTTGGATATGATTTTTTTAACAATTTCGAGGTGAACAGGGCAGTTGATAAATTCGCGAAAAAGAAACTCGGAGATATAACCTAGAAAAATTTCGTAAATATCGTTAAATATGGTGAATGTACACCCACGAGCAAAGTCAGCTTCCGTTAGGGGAAAAGTTGACGTAGGAGAAGGGCCCCCTACCACTTAGTACATTTATTTCAAGTACTGAAATAAATGTTAAATCGAATGTTAATTTGGCATAAATATCAATAATTCCCGATATCAAATTTTAAGAGGCCCTTTTCGAACGTCACTTTTTTCCCCAGCGGAAGCCGAGTTTGCTCGTGAGGGTACTACTATGGTTTGGGGTGTCATGGCAACCTCTGGTGTAGAACAATTTCTTTCTATTCATATTACTATGAACAAATTTGGATATTTCGATAGTTTCAAATTAAATTCAGCTGTATGTGCATTGATGGATCTTTTAGTGAGATCGTGAGCCAAAATATATAGCAAAGGCGGTTAAAAGTTGTTTGCTGGAAAACATTTGCGATCGGTTAAGTCCTCTTCCACTATTATAAGAAATATTAAATTCTAAATTGAGAGAAATAAATATGAATAAATCTGACACTTTCGAAGTGTATACTCATTTTTGACTCTCACTGTACATGGCTGCGCATCGGTTCGAACGTGTTAATAACACGCACGCGTAGAAACGAAACAACAGTGACACAGAAAAGAAAAAAACAATTAACGAGTCACGAAGAAACGACGGACGAGCGAACATTCGTGAAGATCGAGTCGGTGGTTGATCGGTTGAAGGGCGGTCTATCGAGCGAATAATCCGTCGTTGGTTTTACGATCTAAGGTTGCTCGGAACGGCGTCGTCGGCCAGGCCCTCCGGCGTAATTCGCCGCCGCCAATCCCATCAAATGTTTCGCCGCTTGGGAACCGCTGAAACCGCGACTCAAGCCGAGATCCAGGCCTCGTTTGGTGCTGAAACAGAATCCAGCGAATCCGTCGGTGGAAAAAGAAAAAAAAAGGACCGAGGTCAATGTCCCTATTTCTAATCGCGTAAGAGTTCTGCTATTGCAGAAATTGATTTTTATTATTTATGCAACAATCGACAAAAAAAACCTATTGGATATAAAATTATAACTTAATAATTAATTTAATATGAAGTGTAAGGAAAATGGAAGTACCAAAACCAAACTTTGTAAGTTTTTGTTTTAGTAAAAACGAATCGCTCAAATCACGTTTCTTTGCGACGGACAAACTTATTAAATTTATTTCTATTAAAATGCTGCCATCTACTAAACAGTTGGCTGCATTTTGTATGGAAATACTAAAATAATTCAAATCATTTTTTGTATAACTAATTTGTTATTTAACTTTTTTACATTAAATAAAAAATATACGTACAGATCAGAAATCTGGGCATTGATCTCATCCGTGCGACTTATTGTGTTTTTCCCCCAATTCACACGCGCTATTAACCCATTCTCATACGTACTTTTCGAGTTCTGGATTGCGCATTATAGTGTGTCCGAGTCGAGCGATGATCTCCATCAACTTCGTCGCTTCAGGATCTTCTTCGTCGAATTGGCCCCAGTAGCTCTGTTGTCTGTATCGGAATTCCTAACGCTTTAAACTCTGTTCGAATTGTCTCCGGTATACGGAAAACAAGTGGCGTAAGAAAATGGCTTTCTATCACTTTACAAAATTTATTTCAAGTACTGAAATAAATCTTAAATGGAATGTTTATTTCGCATAAATTTCAGTAATTCTTATTACCAAATGGTAGGAGACCCTTATCCATACGCCGTATTTTCCCCTAGTGGAAGCAGAGTTTGCTCGTGGGTGTACAAGTTTCGAGCAAATTGTTGTCTAAAAAAAACCAGCCAGCTGACATAATGGTAAAGGAAATTGGCAGAAAGTCTTGACCTATGTCAGATTGACAGCAAAAACGGAACAAGGTTTGCGCGAGCCAATTTACTTCCTATGTTGCCTGCCAATTTACGCGCACGTGGTTTATAGTAAATCTTGCATCAAACTCGTAGCCATAAATTTATAACAAACATTGGACAAAATTTGGCTTTACAAGTTTGGCTGACAGGGTATGTACGTTTGTACGAACTCTTTCTTTTTTTTTTTTCGTTCTCTTTATAGGTTTATAGGCGACCAATCCTATTCCAGCCCGTTCGCGAAAATGACGATCGTTCCGTGAATTGCCGGCGTCTCGAAGGAACATCTTACCCGGACGTTTACGGGGTTCGATCGGATCTGTAACACCTCTATTCGTATGCGCGATCCTAGTAACGACTGGCCGTAACAATACCACTTCTTTACTTTACTCGGATACGAGAAACCGTTCTCATTAAACGGTCGCTCGTCAAACGAAACTAGGTTAAACATTCTGACGTAGCCACAGATGCGTCTTCGCGTACACCGTGCCGCGCGTACGTGTCTCCCTTCTTTTTTCTTTTCTACCATTTCGCAGTCCATCGCGTGTACCGTTTCTCCGGCTTATTCCGTTCTTTCTTCTCAATGATTTATACGTCAGTTTATAAGCGTACGTTGAATACGAACGGAAAACGTGGACGATCTTGCGAGTATAATAGAACAATCCCAAATAGCACAAAAACGTCATATGTACACCCACGAGCAAACTCGGTTTCCACTAGGGGAAAAAGTAATGTAGGGAA